GAATCCTATATAAGGTCCTCTATAGAAAATCATATAGAGAGATAAGGGATGAAGACACCTGACCTAGCATGAATTTTGATGCACACATCATTATCAGCTATTAGTGCTGTTATTGTTGTATATCATTGTAGACTACATTCATAGCTAATAATGATGTGCATATCAAGATTCGTTCAAGGCATCCTCTCCATGAAGGCATCTATAGGATTTTTATTCCGGTTAATTGTACTTTTGATCTGATAATATCTCTCTATATTTTACAGGATGCCTTGCAAGAAATTTATTCAAAGAAATGAGAAGAGAAGATGCTTCAATTCGCATACAAAAATATGCAAGAGCTCATTCAGCACAAAAATCCTATACAAGCTTGAAGGCATCAGCACTTGTCATACAAACAGGCTTACGTGCAATGGCTGCACGTAATGACTACCGACACAGGAGGAGGACTAAGGCTTCTAAAATTATCCAAGTAACTTTTTCCAAATTGAATTTCTTGAAGAACTTGCAGCTCATATTTCAGATAACACTTCTAAAATATTTTCTGCTTTATTTTAGACTCAATGGCGCCTACATAAAGCCCGGTCAGCTTATCAACAACAGAAAAAAGCCAGTTTAATACTTCAATGCCTGTGGAGAGGCAGAGTAGGAAGGAAGGAACTCCGGAAGCTTCGAATGGTAAGATAAAATAGAGGGAAATTTACATAAAAGCCCCCTATGTTTTGTAGAAGTGAAAGGAAATAAGGTTTTAAGAGTGACAGTTTAGCCCTCTCCTCTTAAATTTTTAGTTAAATAATCATTACTTTTTTATGTAATCTTAAAATTTCAACATAATTATCATGTTCTATTATATAAATTATTTTATGTACAAATTAACTTCATGTAGGCGGCGAGGGAGACTGGAGCGCTGAAAGAAGCTAAGGACAAGCTAGAGAAGAAGGTTGAGGAGCTCACGTGGAGATTAGATTTAGAGAAGCATTCAAGGGTAACTCACTGATTATGTTTTCATTCTTTCATATTTCAAGTAAAATAGTTTTCAGTGAGAAGAGTGATTATTATATATATTTAGATTGACCTTGAAGAAGCGAAAGGGCAAGAGATTGCCAAGTTACAAACTTCATTGCAAGAATTGCAAGAAAAGCTTCAGGAGGCCAATGCTGCAATTATTAGAGAAAAAGAAGAAGCAAGGATTGCAATAGAGCAGGCTCCCCCAGTAATTAAAGAGGTTCCAGTTGTTGACAACACTCAGTTGGAGTTATTGACAGACAAGAATAAAGAGCTAGAGGTAAAGGAAATACCACTATTTATCATTAATATTTACTGCATTTATCATTTGTCATTCACTATAATTCAAATGTATTCTTCTAACAGATTTTTTTCTTTAGTGTTTTTCCTTCAATTTCCTAGGTATTCTACGTTTATATAAGATTTAAAAGTAGTATTCTGGACGTCATCATCATGATTAAATCTTTTGTGGTTATACAGGAGGAGCTAATTGAATTCAGAAGTAAGGCAGAAGAATTCGAGAAAAAATATTCAGAGGCCCAAAAGCAGACGGAAGAATTGATTAAAGAGACGGAAGAGACCAAATCAAAACTAAGTCAATTCCAAGAAACCATAGAAAGGTAGTTTGTAGCACTCATTTTTCCCTTCTTAAATCTTCTTGTGACAAATTTGTGATCTAACAAATCAAATATCATCTTTAAAATTTAGGCTTGAAACAAACTTATCCAGCCTTGAGTCTGAGAATCAGGTTTTAAGACAGCAGGCCTTAGTGGCATCAACAAACGAGGAGCTCTCTGAGGAAATTAAAAGGTATGCGACATTTAAAACATTTTTCAAGTGAAAATTAGATTATGAGTTAAAACTGAATATTGAATATCTGAGCACCCTTGACTTTTTTTTTCAGTCTTGAGAGTAAAATTACAGAATTGGAGTCTGAAAACAAGTTGCTCCAAGCTAGGCCTGCGGTGGTAGTTCAGCAAGTAGTCTCTAAGGAGTCAAAAGAGTATCAACCAGACATGAAAGTAATATATGCACACACTATATTTACAAATATTATCTAAAAAGTTCATTAACAGGGTTATTGCACATAGACCCCCCTGTAGCATTGTTGCTTTGAACTTGGGTACAAAGTTCATACAGCGATATTATGGGCAATTAGCTCTTATTAATATGTTCAGCTAAAGAAAGGGTTCTGATCTTTTATAGGTTCAGATTGTGGAGAATGGGCAAGAACATAGAGAAGAACCTATCTCCTCATCAGGAAGACATGTGGAAGAACCTATTCCCTCAAAAATATATGATGAAGTACCTAAGTCTCCGAAAGTATGTGTCACAAAATTGAATAAATGTAAAATCAATTCGCCTTATATATACTTTCATATAGTTTGACAAGCTATTACTTGCAGGAAACTGTGGTGGTTACTCCTGTACCTACTTTAAACAAACAGAAATCCCTTACTGATAGACAACAAGTATGTCCACTCTATACATCTATTTATTAGAACATTAGAAATGTACAAAATTTCTCATATTAAATAATATTTTCATATATCCAGGATAACCACGATGCACTTATTAAGTGCCTCATGGTAGACAAGAGATTTGACAAGAGGAGGCCGGTAGCAGCATGTATAGTATACAAATCTCTGATACAATGGCACTCATTTGAAGCAGAGAAAACAAACATATTTGATCGAATAATTCACACAATAAGATCATCGGTTGAGGTAGTGTTCTCATGTCCTCTAAATCCTTTCTACAATTCATTCATGTATATTAACAAGTTAAAACATGGCTTGTAGCTTAAACTTAGGGGAAATTTCAGCATACACCTTATAGATTGGCGCCATTTTGAGATAATCCCTAACCCCCCGCCCCCCCGCCCCTCCCGCCCCCCCACATCAAAAAAAAAAAAACCCTTAAGTTTAGAGATGTCAACCCCAGGTCTTTGGGCTTGATCACAAGAACCCCCCATATAAGGCGCCTAATTGCTTAAACCTCATTTTTTCGTATAAACCCCCCACCATTCAACATTATTGTCAGAGAAACCCAAACTTTCAACCATTATTTTCAAAGAACCCTAAATTTGACCCGTAATTTTCAGAAAATCCCATGACTTCTGATGAAAGTTCAGAAACATGCAATATGCTGTTACTGTGTGTGTGTTGGGGGGGGGGGGGCAATGCATTATGGCCTGAACAGGATTGAAAACTCTTGGGGGTTTTGTGACAAGCCTAAAAGATTAGGGGGTTAGATGGCATTTATAAACTTCGGGGGGTTATCTCAGAATGGCCTAAATTTTAGAGGGGTTATTGAAGTTAGGATTAAAATAGTTCACACCTTTGTTGTTATCTTTGTGTAACTAATTAATTGTTTTTCTCTATATAGAATCAAGAAAACATAAGTGAACTCGCTTATTGGCTCTCAACAACATCTACTCTTCTTTTCCTCTTGCAAAACACTCTCAAAGCGAGCACAGGTTCAAATTTGGGTGCAAACCGTAGTAGAGCTTCAACTGGAACTCTATTCAGTAGAATGGCACGAGTAAGTCTCTAATTTCATGCACTTTGTTAAGATTTCATAGGATAAATTCCAACAATGAGTTATAATTTGCTAAATGAATGTGTATTGCTTATAATAGACTACTCGTTCAACTTTGACTGGAATCGAGATTTCTAGTGGATACAGTGGGATGCTAGGCAAGCCGAATACTCAATCAAGAGTAGAGGCAAAATACCCTGCTCTACTATTTAAGCAACATTTGACAGCTTACGTTGAGAAAATATACGGTATGATCAGAGATAGACTGAAGAAAGAAATTAGCCCATTATTAACAATGTGTATACAGGCAAGTTTCTATTAAACACAAAAACATTGGTAAATAAGAATATACAAAAATGATAAGGTCCTAAAATCCAAATTACAGGCACCAAGATCAGCAAGAGCAAGATCAATTAAAGGATCGTCCAGGAGTGTTCATGTCAATACAGTAGCAAAGCAAGCATCCAGTGTTCACTGGCAAAGTATTGTGAAGAGCTTAGATAACATGTTGAGCATATTGTGCGAGAATTTTGTGAGTATTGAGTTTTCCTTTCCCTAATAGTGGACGTATTCGGGGATGATTTTTCACATTTAATTTGATTCTGCAGGTCCCTTCCATGATTATAAGGAAAACTTTCAGCCAAGTCTTTGCATTCATAAACGTACAACTCTTCAATAGGTACCGATCTATGGTTTTTCAACATAGTAATACTTATTCAATATGAGCGCCTAAAAAATATCTCTCAATAGGGTTTCCTTAGAATTTGCCTTAAGGGTAGTAGTTATTATCATGATTTATTTAAGCGTTAGTTGGAAATAGACCCCCAATACTTTCGCCGACTTGAAATTTCTACCCCTACAGTTCAATTATTGCAGATAGACCCCCTGAGTGAAATTTTGACCCTTTCAAGGGGGTCTATCTGCAACAATAGATTTTCACTCAGGGGTTCTATCTGCTGCAGATCTATCTGCAGCAATATAACTTCTATCTGCAGCAATATAACTTTTTCAGATAGTCTATCTAAAAAAATAGAACTATAGAGGTAGTAAATTCAATTGGCGAAGTATAGGGGGTCATCCACAATTAACCCTTGTTTAATTCACTTACTTGGGGTTAAATGAAATTTTCAAACTTTTTCGGGTACAAGTGAAGAATGCCCAAACTTACTGGGGGGTTTTGTGTAATTTACCCTTTATATATGTAATTCACTTAAATGTTTAGTGACTTCTAACACATGTAATTTACCCTTTATATATGTAATTCACTTAAATGTTTAGTGACTTCTATCTACAGCTTGCTACTCCGTCGAGAATGCTGCTCTTTTAGCAATGGCGAGTATGTCAAGGCTGGATTGCAAGAGTTAGAACAGTGGTGCTCGAAAGCCACAGAAGAGGTCAGTCGATGAAAAGTCATTCTTATCAAATGAATTAATATACAAGCAAAAAAAGAAAAAGGAAAAGAAACTTAACTAAATGACTGGTATAATGCTATTTTCTATTCCAGTTTGCTGGGACATCATGGGATCAGCTCCAACATATAAGACAAGCAATTGGATTTTTGGTAAGCAAAATTTAACACAACTTCGTAATAGATAATCTAATCATAATCTTTTCTGATGAATAAATACTAAAATGTCGCAAACTTCTCAGGTTTTGCATCAGAAAGCACACAAATCTGTTGAAGAGTTCACAACTGAACTCTGCCCAGTGAGTACAAAATACAAATATTGATTTCTTTAGACTTGAGAAAACTTATATGTCTCATATTATGGTTTCATGTGGTTTTCAGGACTTGAGTATTCCCCAGATATATCGTATTGGAACAATGTTTTGGGATGACAAGTATGGGACTCAGGGTTTATCTAAAGATGTAAGCATGCATCTGTGCTTCACTTCAAATATATTAGTTCTATAAGGGAAAATTACAGAAACCACCCTAAGATTTCTAGAAATGACAGAAAATCTCTATGCAGTTTTAAACTCAGAGTTCTACCCCTTCTTTTTTGAATTTCCATCGAACAGGCTCACATGTGTATCATGTGACTAGTTAAATAACAAAAATACCCGTATTTCTTTTCATAGGGGAAGAAACAACAAGCAAGGGAATTTCTGACATTGGCAATGCAATTCTTCAGACACGTAAACTTAGGCAGCACAAATTACAATAAATAACTGCTTACCATAAGAAACCACACTCCTCAATTAAAGAAAAACTACAGACATGCATATGATATCACTAACAACTGTTTTACACAATTGAATTGGTTTCAGGTTATTGGCAAGATGAGAGCTTTGATGAGTGATGATTCAATTAACATTCCAAATAAATCCTTTTTGTTGGATGATGATTCGAGGTAAAGACCAAAAATCCAATTCCTATGTTCCCTAAGGCCTAATTCCATTTTGATATAACATGCTAAGAAAGGGTTGTCTCATATCAGACACTAAACTACATGTATATTTTCCCATTTTATCCCCATGAATCTTCATATTTTTATAGGATTTATGGATGGGATTAAGAATATGAAGATTTTGGGGTTCCAAAGTGGAAGTATGATAGAAATTAGGATCTCATATGAGAAAACCCAATTAGAACTAAGAGCAAGAATTAGTATTTGCAACTTTTATTTGACTTACCTTTTCTAAACAAACCAAAATACTTGCAGTATCCCTTTCTCCTTGGATGATATCTCTCGGTCAGTTCTCGACATAAATATCACTAACAACTGTTTTACACAATTGAATTGGTTTCAGGTTATTGGCAAGATGAGAGCTTTGATGAGTGATGATTCAATTAACATTCCAAATAAATCCTTTTTGTTGGATGATGATTCGAGGTAAAGACCAAAAATCCAATTCCTATGTTCCCTAAGGCCTAATTCCATTTTGATATAACATGCTAAGAAAGGGTTGTCTCATATCAGACACTAAACTACATGTATATTTTCCCATTTTATCCCCATGAATCTTCATATTTTTAAAGGATTTATGGATGGGATTAAGAATATGAAGATTTTGGGGTTCCAAAGTGGAAGTATGATAGAAATTAGGATCTCATATGAGAAAACCCAATTAGAACTAAGAGCAAGAATTAGTATTTGCAACTTTTATTTGACTTACCTTTTCTAAACAAACCAAAATACTTGCAGTATCCCTTTCTCCTTGGATGATATCTCTCGGTCAGTTCTCGACATAAACCTTTCAGATGTTGAACCACCACCATTACTGCGACAAAATTCTGAATTCCATTTCCTCTTACAACAGCACATAGATTGAATGATTTTCTTTTCTTTATATTTTTAACAAAAAGGAAAGAGTTGTAATTTTTCGGGGTATTTTTTAAGTGTGCAGAGTGTAATTTTGTTTTTGTTTTTTGTTTTTTTCCCATATATTCTTTCTCCTCCTTCCATTTGATAAGCCTCACTGATTTTTTGAGTGTGTGTAGCCATATACGAGTGGATGTGTTACAGGGATTGTATGTAAAAAACAGGATTGGTTTTGCTTTTGCACGTTGCAATAAAGAAGTTTTACTTTGTAATGCTTGGGCTGTTTGAGTTTAAAAATGACAAAAAGATTGAAAAAAGATTAATATATATATATATATATACTTCCTGAAGGAAGTATCTTAACACTATAGCCATCTGTGAATTAATTGCGTGGAACATATGTGACTCTAAATAATTTTACAATTTTATGTAGTTTTGTTCTTTTTCAACCAAATTCTGAATAAATATTCTATAATATCAGTGCGATGGAGAATCATTTGCGATAAAATTTTGATAGAGAATACACAAAATATGCCGTCTTAAGACTAACGCGGAACCAAAGACCTACATGCCTCAAGATTGGAAACTCTTCTAATACAACAACAATGGCTAATAACAAAATTATGAGGTAGATTACTTATCTGTAAAATTTCACCATGTAGGTGGGATACAGGGAAAAGTCATAATACAAACAAAAATGAAGTTGCTCTCTATCATTGTATGGTATGGACTCTTCTTTCGTAAAAGATTTATCATCCATTATCTTGGATGGATCTTCTGCGTGGAGTAAAATGGACAAAATGCTTTTGGAACTAAATCTAGGTGCTTTGCAAGTTCGTGCTAAGATTCCCTATTTGTAAGAGATATTGTTAAATTGACTTTGAAATTCAACTCACACCTACCAAACCAAACTTCACTGTTTCACCAAATCCTAAACATTATTTCACCAACCCAAAACACTGTTCCACCAACCCTTTTGAAAGATATAAATAGAGGAGAGTTGAGAAGGCTTAGAGCATCGAACATAAATTCAGAACAGAGAGAAGAAAGAGAGATTTAGAGAGAAAAAGAAAAGAGAGTTTTTTGAGTGTTCTCTTCTTTGTGTGAGTTTGGTGAGACATTAGAGTGATCTCCCTTTGTAATCTTCTCTTTTGTGATTAGTGAAGCTCTCTGCTGTTCTCGCCCGTGGACGTAGGTCATACTGATCGAACCACGTTAAATCCTTGTGTGATGTTCTCTTTGTCTTCATTATGTTTATTCAGTGTTGTTATTCTCCACTGTTGTATAGACATCTTCTACGTCTGTGAAGCCCCCTGCTGCAACAAAATGGTACCAGAGCCTAACTTAGAGTACGTGTATCTACTTATCGTATGCTGTGTAGCTGCTACTAAAAGTGGATCATCCACATCAGAAAAAAAGTTAGATGATCATTCACTCTTTAAAGGCATTGGACACTATTCATGAACTGTTCACATGTACGGTTATTATTCAAAAGTACGATTGCTGTTCATAATTACAGTTACTGTTCAAGTGGGCTTCAAGATGTCTTCTGTACAAAATGGAGAAATTCGATGGGAGAAACAACTTCAATTTGTGAAGAGTAAAAATGAGGGCTCTTCTAGTACAACAAGGACTGTTCAATGTCTTGTCCAAAAAGGATAAGTTATCAGAATCTATGCCTGATGATGGGAAAGAAGACTTGGAGATGAAGACGCATAGTGGCATACAGTTCTGTTTGGTCGCTGAGGTCCTGCAGGAGGTTGCCAATGAAGATATCACCGCCGGATTGTGGCTCGAATTGGAGAGCTTGTACATGACGAAATCTCTAACGAACAAGATCTACTTAAAGCAACGCCTCTTCACCCTTCGCATGAAGGAAGGTATGCGAATTATTGACCACTTAGATGAACTTAACACTATTCTTATGGATTTAAAGAATATTGATGTTAAATCGACTGTAGGCATCGAAAATTGCCTATAGGTCTCCACAAACGGTTCAGTGTTAAAGAACGACGATGAACGTCCCTATATGATCCACATGAGCTTAATCGACGTCGACGGATGACTGAAGTGAGTCGGCGAGCTACGTGAGCGGATAGGATATCTGAACAATGAAGACCCGGACCAATCGGGAACCCGGCAGTGTTCACAAAGAGGACAACGCCCTTCGTGCCTCGATCACTCTACAGATAATCCAACCACCAGAGCGGATCGAGCTCTTCGTCACGCATTCAACGCACCCGGAATCACTCAAATCCGAGTTCGGACGAAGAATCTACGGGGTAAAACGATCAAATACACCTATGGACGTCTCGGAGTTCCGAAACACCCCCAGGGGTGTCTCAGAAATTCCGAGACACCCCAGGGGTGTCTCGGAATTTCCGAGACACCCTAGGGTGTCTCGGATTTTCCGAGACACCCCTAGGGGTGTCTCGGAAAATCCGAGACACCCCAGGGGTGTCTCGGAAAATCCGAGACACCCCAAGGGTGTCTCGGATTCTTGGAGACACCCCAAGGGTGTCTCAGATCTGTGGAGACACCCCAGGGGTGTCCTAGATCCGTGGAGATGCCCCAAGCCCCCATTTGCCTATAAATAGCAACCCTTGGGCTCATTTTTGAAGATCTGGATTTTTGGAGAGCCTTGGCGAAGCCCTGCTGCAGCAAAGAGTGGTCGTGCGCTTCAACCGAGGAGGAGAGGTCTACATCAGCCTTCATCACCCGTTTTCATCTGATCCTTAGTATTAGCCTTTAGCGTTAATACTAAGAAGAGCTAATACCTCGCGGGGTGGCTCGGTGGCCGAGCCACCTTGGGGTGGTTCGGCCATGAGCCGAGCCACCCCAAGGTGGCTAGGCACAGTGTCGGCCACCCCGAGGTGGCCGACAGTGGCCCGAGGTGGCCGACAGTGGCCAGAGGTGGCCGACAATTCTCTTTTTGCAGCCACTGTCTTGAGAGCCTATAAATAGGCCTAGAGATGTTCATTTTCGGGAGGTGGAACTTTCAAGAGCCGAAACTCTGCCGAATTGAAGATCAAGCTTAGAGTTTTGAAGACTTGAAGACTTGGACATTCAGATCTGAATCTCGGCGAGCATCAACGTCACAAAAGGCAGGTGTTCGAGAGAGAGGAAGAACAGATCTGAGATCTACACGTGATCATACTCCGGATCTAAGCTTGGTCTTAGATCCCGAGATCTGAGCGATTATTCCCTTGGTGGACTAATCCCTCCCGGCTATTATTCCCTTCGTGGAATAATACCCGCATACTCGTGTAGATCCGACCGGATCTAGATCGCGCGGTGGTCCACGGATTAACCCCAGCGTCGGCAAAGAACCCACCAAAGCGAGAGACCGCAAAACAGGATCTCGCGATTCGTTCGGCAAATAAGGAAAGTTGTAATTTTTTATTTTTTTTCTTTGATTTAGTTGTAACCGGATCTATAAAAGACCGGATCTTTATAACCCAAGATGACAATTATTTCAATGAAAAAGACAACAGTTTTCCCCGCGAACAAGCTGGCGACCACAGTGGGAGCCAACGGCATCGCAACCGACGCCGTCGTGACGCAACCGGCATTCAAGATCCGGGTGAATGAAGAGGTCGAATACGAGTTCGACCAGCAAAAGTTTGAAGAGTACCTCTCTTCCTCCTCCTCCAGATCCGCCTCTCCAAGTAGGCACAGAAAGGTAACCTCTTTCATAAATGTTCGCCAGAACCTCGGCTCAAAGACCCAAGATCCCTTAGCCATTGCTGCACTCGAACCACGTGGCGTCTCCGCGTCGCCCAACGTGGTCGAGATCGCAGATCTGGGATTCTCCTCCCCCAAGAAGATGGCTAATGAAGGCACTCCAGCTGTATCAAAGAGGGCGCTCCAAAGGCGGCGTCAACGCCTTGCTCGTCAAATGGCCAAGGCTTTGGAGCCTATGGATGGGGTCCGCTACAACGAAGATCTCAAATCCAGGCAACGCCAAGAGCAACAATGGTATGTAACCAACTCCTCCAAAACAGAAATGAACAAATGGGTTCGTGTCACAAGGAATCGCTCAACCCTCGAGGAGCGAATCAAGAAGCGCCGTGCACTGCTTGCGCAGGCCCGACCTCTCTTGAAGAAAGCAGAGGAGATGCAGAAAGAAACAACGGTCAAACAACCGCCTACAAACAAGTTGGTGTGGGTACCCAAATCAGAGCCAACACCTCCAACACAAGTGGGTGGAGTTGCTGCCCGAGTTCCTTCAAAACCAGATCCGGCACCTTCAACGGAGCCAGGTATGAATGGGGATCATTCAAAACTCAGGGTTCCTTTGAAAGGTCACCTCGGTCCTCTACCGGAGAATCGAGGTAAAGTACCTATCAAGGCGAATCAAACTGGGGGTCGAATTAATCTCCCCAAGAAAGATGACAAAGGGAAAGCCCCTATCACCGACCGTATCGGATTGCGAGTCGAAATACAAGAGCCCGTTCAATTTTTATGTTCACAAAAACGTAAACTTGAACGGGCCACTTTTGAAAAAGTTAACAAAGCATCGCATGCCCAAAGGGAAGCACACTCATCTGAGGATGATGGTGTTTTACCGATGGATACATGCCAACACTCTATAGGTTGCTCCAGTTATCAAACTGATGAGTTGTACTATAGAGCTGGGGGTATGGGAAAATCTCGAAAGAAGTATGTGCAGGACATGGAGTCTCGCTGCCCGTGCGCCAACATAATCAAGGCAGTGCTATCAGAATGCTCCTGTGCTCAAACCCCAAGGAGAATTTCGGTGTTCGACAGAATTTCCACCGGAACGTCTGAGACCAAGCCTAAGCGTTTCCGAAGAAGAAGAAGGGTAGTCAAAGACGGAGAATTCCCGAAGGTCACCATCAACATGGCCAGCAAAGGAGCATCGACAGGGGACAATCCCGAGTCAATTCCGTTGGTACCCTGGTATCTAACTCACCTGCAGTCCGGAACCATTACACGAGGGACCTATGGTAGGGACGCCCTAGCTCGGCAGAAAGAAGCTTTCAAATTCGAGATGGAAATGACCCTACAGCGGATGAGGGAGATGCACGATCAGCAACTCGCAGCTTTGACAACTCATCAAGAGGAGCCCACTCGACCCAATCATCAGAACCAAGAAGAGAATGAACGGGAAGGGAATAATGTCATTATTCCCCCTGTCAACAACGACAACGGAAGTGGTCCGGTAGATGATAATGCCAAAGAAGACCACATTACCTCTCCCCAAAACCACTCGAAGATAGAAACGAGTGAAGACAAAAAGATGAAAGAC